AAGGCAATGGCTTGTCACAAAACCAGGGTTGGAACGCACGAGTGCGCTCCAGTGTTTTTCTTGAGGAATCTGTTTTTACGGCATGAATACCAGTAACTGCTATGAGCTTCCTATCTGCTTCCTGGGAAGCTGAACGTAATCTCTCGGATTGTATCTCAGGGATGTAGTAAGACAGTAAAATACACAAGTAAATCACTGTCATCTGAGCTCTTCACAAGCTGCAGCTACTGTAATGTTTAATATTTTCTCCAAGTTACCGTCCATGCTTTTTAAATGAGAGTTCAACTTCATTTTTTGCTGATAACTTACAGTATTTAGCTTTGCCATAGTTATACTGTAAGATGTAGAACCTACTCATAGACTCACAAAGCACAGGGAAGTCTCCCCCATGTCTCTTGCTGCTGAAAGGCTTGCCAGGGTTCAATGTGCAGGGCTCGCTGCAGATTTTTGTGGGACACGGAATGACAGGAGATGGGGTTCCAGAGGAGCACCACCAGGCAGCAGTGACCTACCTACAATATCTGCCATAAGAAAATGAGCCTGATTCTACTTAAATTGCAAACCAGTGATTTTTGGGACAGTGTCTATTTTGATACATTGAAATTAATCAATGTAAGGCATATTTAGCTTTTACCTACTCTTATATTATAGGAGTATTTTTACCAGTGGTGAAATGTGTACCTCTGGTTGAACTACTATTCCCATGGTTTTAATACTGGCAGGTTTGGGTTCTATGAAAAGGGGGTGTGAGGCAGATACACTGCAGTGTGTGACGCTGTGCCAGCTTATCACATCCAGCCTACCGTGGGTTTTAAGACAGGCTCTGTGTGCTCCAGAGGCACTCTCGTAATAAAACCTGGGAATTAGCTCTAGCATGTTTATATCAACACCAGTGCCGGCCTCTTGGTTTGTACAAACAGCGCAGTGTTCATGTCCGTTCCACCGGCTGATGTAAGTAATAACAATAAAAACGCCTGTTAAAAAGCTGTCGGTGCTGTGACGCTTAATTTTACAGCAGCCTAATGCCAGCAGCACTAAAAAAACCCAAACCAAAACAAACCACATTCACAAGGAACAAATTAACTTTAAAAAATTCAGCTGGTTGGTAAATAGTCTACAAAATTGTTCCTGTTCACCTGAGGTCTGGGAACGAGCCTTCAACCACTGCACAAATGCTGGCCATTGCAATTGCAGGAGAATGAATTGACTCAGTGTTACCAGCTGCTCAGAGGCATTTTGAAAATGCAGAGGTGAAATCTTGATGGTTTTTAACTTAAACTGAATTTATGTGTTGCATGGGTTGAGTAAATCACTGCACCTAATTTGTTTCTGAATAGCAGCGGTCCTCTGTGGAAAGATGTGTTACTCCTGGGTCTGTTACGAGCATGACTGATGGCTTCAATACCCGCTTCCCTCGTTTCGGAGCCTCTCAAGCCTCCCGTTGCTGGATAATGTGCATGGATGGCATACGCTAAATTTGAGCCTGTCAGCCCCCCAGGTGGCCGTGCTGTCCCCGATCTTTTATCAATGATTTATTGTAAACTATTCAGGATGCCTATGCTGGTTAAAGATAAGAAAGCTCCTGAAGTTTGTTTTCTCTCCAAGGATATGTCTGGCTTTGAATGTTTGATCCAGCTGATGAAAGTGTTTCTGCCTCGTTTGTACTGGGATTGCCATTGAGGAGTAAATCCTATCTTAAGCCTGTAAACGAAACTAACAGTTGTTAAAAGTACCCTAACCAGAGGCTACTTCAGACAAAATAATTTATTTTCTACCACTGCATAAAACAACTAGCGTGCAAGTGTCTGTTGGAAGTGGAGGCGGACCTTTGGCGATGGGTGATCGTGGTTTGCCCGTGGGGAAGCTCTGATCAACACTGAACAGCAGCGCAGCAGGAACTTTGAACTGGCCATCGCTGCTGTTGCGTTCTGTTACGTGCGTGATCTGCGAAGCAGGTTTCACATCAATTTCTTTTGCTGCTCTATTCTCCTTTGCATCTGGCTGTAACATTTAGGCCTTTCTAGGCCAGTAGGTAATGCCGCTGTCTCAGTTACACATCTCAGCAGATGGGGTTTTGACTGTAGAAGCTATGATGTGTGGCAGCTTACAAATTCTGACACGGCTTTTGGGTTGAGCTAGTTTTGCTGCCAGTTGAACCACAGAGTCCTGAAGGGGAAATAACCCTGGTTTTTAGATGCAGGGGCTTTATTTTTAAACATGTTCTTCTACATAAAGGTAGTTCTTTTTGAAACCTCTTGCATTACACAGGAGTAAGAGGAATGGCATTCAACATTGTGCTTTTTCTAAACGTAGGATGTTAAAAACGCTTAAAAATAAGATTAAAAAAATGATGGTTTTCTCAAAGACATTTGAAATTTGTTTTGTGGGAGTTATATTTTTGCTTTTCTTACACATCCCGTTATTCCTCTCCTCCCCAATCAAGTGTTAATGAGGAATTCAGTGTTTTTTTAGGAAAAAAAAAAAGCAGTGAGGATAAACAGACCTCACAGGCTCCTCATTCAGCTCAGCGGGGCACTGGACCTTAGCTATTCTTCATTTCACAGTGAAGATGATCAGTTCTGGGTGAGCACTTTCAAAGGGCACAGAGTTTTTGAAGGTGCTCGGCAGGATGATAAATTGTCGTGTCTGTCATCCTGTGCCTTGCGGAAATGCAGCGGGGGTCTCTTCTGCAGGAACTTGTAAAGAAAAAGGGGCTGTGACACTTGGCCGTTGGATGCCGCCTGTTGATGTGGAATCTGTTCAAGGGTCTGCTGAATACTACCCGAATTCAAGTTTTTTCTCAGGGACAATCGATTATTATAACAACCTCCAAAGCCTAATCCTAAGGAGAGCTTAAAGCTGTCTTGATGGCCTCTTTTTTAAAATGTTTGGCTTTGGTTTTGAGCATTTGTTGTGTGCTGAATGTATGTATCCCTGCCATAGGTTAAGAAGCTTGGGAAGGCATGTATTTCTGCTTTGCTGACGTGCGTGCTGTAATTAGCCTCAGTAAGCCACCACAACTCGATTTTGGTGTATTCAAATCACTCAGTACTTATTTTTTTGGTTGGGCTTAGTGTTTTTAAATGCACCTTCCCTTTACACGTCTTTTGGGTTTTTACACATTTTTAAGAGGTTGCAATGATTAACATAAATATTTTACTCTCTTCCTGAACTTTCAATATTAAAATTCCTTGGTTTATTTTATCACATGCTTAAGGTTATTCTGTGTGTTTGTGTCCATCTCCTTTTCTCTGCTTGTAATTTGTTGGCTAGGAACAACAGATGTCGTCTGTTCTTAAAGTGATACTGTAAACTGAAAAAAACCAACTTCAAAACAAACAAGAGTTTTACTCCAGTGTAAAAAGCCCCCAACTTTAGACATTTTGTTATTTATATTGTCTACTTGTGATGTGAAAGTCTGTTTGGAAAATGGGAATGGGCTACTCTTGCCTAGTCTACCATTAGGGTTAAAGACATCAAAGAAACACTTTAATCCAAATTTAAGAGCCCCTTTTCCTTTACACCTATACTTAAGTTTTGGTAAGATAGCCTTTTAAAAACAAACACACAGAGAGGTGTACCTAGCGATAACTCGTGTAAAGCTGCTGTTGGTAGCTACAACACAAAAAGATTGTCTGGGTAAAATCCTTTCATATTTATTTTGAAAAGAAGCGTTATTATGGAATTATGGTGCTTTCCACGCGGAAACTCCGGCCCGTTGCTAAGGTTGTGTTGGTGGTGCGGAGGCTGCAGAGGGAGCTAACGGTTCGAGGTGGACAAAGTCATCTTTGTGGTGGGGGATTTGTGTTCCTGTGCATTCCACGAGAGAGGCCATGTCACATCTCGGCTACAATGGGGAAGAAGAGACCTTCTTTTGAGAAGGGATAATACTGTGGTATTGTAGGGCAAGGAAAAAAGAAATGAGCAAGATCAGCACAGTTACAGAACATCTGTCCGGACCTTCCAAAAATCGTAATAGAAAGAAATAGGCTCATGGCCACAGAAAGGGAGAATGCCCTAATACCTGCACCAGTTCTGGGCTGAAGTTTAGCTGAACCCAGCTGAGCTCATATGCACTAGGTACCACCTTGCAAACCATCACTGTAGGGAAGGGATTTGTCGCAGATACCATCGTGGGGGAGTACGCTGCAGGGCAGCAGTGCAGCCCTCCTGGTGGCTTGTGCCCCTCCCCACCCGTGGGTCCCCCACGCCACCTCCGCTTAGAGCAAGCTCGAGGCCCCTGTCGAACTCGTTCCTCTGTAGTCATTTTTCACTTGGATCACAGCCAGCGTGTCGCTAACAGAGCTGAGGGAAGCAGCAAACTGCAGTATGGGAACCCAGAGAAAGGGATACAGGGAGAGCCCTCAAGGTAGGAACAGTGACTCTCTAAAAACCCTAGTGCCAGCTTTCAAGAAACACGTGGCAGTGGAAGTTGAGTCAAAGGTGTTATTAGCGAGCGCTCTCCTTTCACAGTCGATCTCACACAACTGGAACCAAAACGTTTCCCGTTTCTTTGCTGGGTCCCGTCTCCCTGCCTTTGCGTGGACTGCCATGCGTCAGTACAGCCTGCTTATCCAGAAACGGACCCCATGCTGTCTGTTGTAACAAGTCTTTGTTGTAGACTGGGAGAACCCTCAGTATGCTGCCTGACACTATAGACCCTAGCTCCGTAGCTGCGAGGGTGCGGTTCTGTAACAGACAGAAGAGTGCTATTTCACTCCCACTGATTTCTGTTGCGAACTTTGGTTTCAGGCTAGTGGAAGCAAGACTGGGAGATGCGTGACGGATTCTAGTGCAGCCTGGGCAAAGATTCAGGGAAGTGCGCAGAGCTGCAGATGTCAGCCTTCCAGGCATCCAGCCCATTCACCCGTCTGCTGGTTGGAGCAGACGAGTTTGGAACCAAACTTGCAGGAGAATCAAGTGATCTCGCTGTCTGCGGAAGCCTGAAAATCCTCGCGTTTCTTTCCTCGAGTCTAACTAGTCCCTTGCTCTTTATGCAGATCCGAGAAGGAAGTATCACGTGAGGCTGCTGGCATACAACAGTATGGAAGAAGGCTACCAGGCAGACCAAACAGTCAGCACTCCGGGATGTGTCTGTAAGTGTTGTAGCTGCGTGAGGAATTTACTGAGCGGAGCTGTTTCAAGGTCCCAGCAGCTCTGTGCTTTATCATATAAATAATCAATTAATTCCATGTAAAACAGAACCAGACAGATTATATCTGTGACAAACACTATCCTAGTCATCCTGCAACGGGGACAGTTTCCTGTGCTCATGAACTGCAGCCGACGATACAGGATAGCTACCGAGGACATTTTCCTCCCCCGCTGGATTGTCTGCACCATCTAACCAGTGATGTGCCGTGTACCTTATGAGAGAGTTCTCTCTCTCCCTTGTCCCTGTTCCTAGTTTTGTCTTTGTTTTTGACCAAACGAGTGGGACTACAGAAATAGCATGTGGTGTGTATTGGGTTAGGAGGGATCTTTAATGGCTTGAACCAGATTCAAGCTCTGAAAACCAGGTAGGGCTGGGTAGGGCCAGATCTGAATCTCAACCTGTGGGCTCATCCCTATCTCTTGATCTTACTGGTGTCTGTATACAGTTCATTAACTCACGCTCTTTTTTTTTAGCTGTCCGTGATCGCATGGTGCCACCGCCACCCCCGCCTCACCACCTCTATGCCAAAGCCAACACTTCCTCCTCCATCTACCTTCACTGGGGAAAGCCTGCCTTCACATCCGCACAAGTCGTCAACTACACGATCCGCTGCAACCCAGTGGGGCTGCAGAACGCTTCGCTGGTTCTCTACCTTCAGACGTAAGTGCAGCGCTACGAATGAGTCTCGGTGTCCCGTTTCCGGATCCTTCCCCCTCAGTTTCTCCTCTTCCTGCCCTCTCTTAGTCAACCTTTTACTGTAACAACATTGGTCTTCCTTAGAGGACTCTGTGCTTCGTCCAGTGGCTGCCAGTTCTGTTTCTTGGGTTATTTAAGATGTGTTTGTAGAACAGCTTAATTGGCTACCTGTGATCCTTGTGTGGGATCCCTGGACAAGCTCCTGAATTGTTAATGGCTTCTTAGCTGTCTTCAGTTGAATTTGATTTCAAACTCTCTTCAAGCAAACAAGAGATCACCTGTTTCACAGGTCGCTTGCCTGGGCGAAGATGGGACACGTGGTCCAGTGTCAGATTTTAAGACTGGAAACAACAATTTTGGAGTTTTGTGGGTTGAGCACGTTATTGTGGGAATACCACATTGCTGAGTGCGTGGCACCCTGCCAGGAGAAAGCTGAGTTGGAACCGCAGCTTGCTTTTCAGAGAAGCAGTGCGTGAGCCACAGAATGGCAGAGCGGGGAAGAAATTCTGCCTGGGCTTGGTGTTCAGCTCTCTGCCCAGGTGGTGTGGGAGCAGGAGACTTTGCTCCATGGCGCCGGCCGGCGTCGTGGTGCTGTTGAGGGAATCCATACGCGTGTAGGATACGTGGGTTTACTCAAACCTTCTAAGTAAGAAAAATGCTGTCTTAGAAGTTAGTTTCCATCCTAATATGGAGCGGTTTCTCTTCAAAGAACACATCCCCTGCTGTCTAACTCCTGACTCGACAATTAGACACAATACAACCACCATGTAAACTTCTTAGTGTGCAGTAAGGAGCATAGCCACAAATGCTGCTTTTTGTGATAGCATGGAGCTATTGCAAATATTGGTGGCTGCTTTTGCAGCATGGAAGGTGAAAATACTAAATGACATTTAATGAAGCAATATGTGTAGAAGAACACCATTTTAAACTGAGACTTAATCTCAGCTTGCTATTATCACCTGGAATTACTGGTGTACGTTAAACCTTTCTCCCGATGCCAGAATCAAAATAAAGCAGAATGTCTACACTTGACTTTATAATCAAATGGTAAATTGCAATAGTACAATTAATATAATCAATTTTCCAGTTAATAGATTACCAAATACGGCTGCAAGATGAGTAGGGAACATTCCTATTCTAGAGAGATCCTCTGAACATGAGGTGGTAGAGGCCATAAGTGGAAGGGAAGTTGCACACATAGCCTATGTCTTTTCTGTGAACTGAGAAGCAGATCCAGGGAAAGCTGGTGGAGCCAGCAGCATGTGCCTTTTCAGATGTGGTGCTGCTGTGGTTTAAGGTTTACTCCAGCTTGAAGCAGTGTTCTATGGACGAATGTGGAAGGAGCTGAGTTTGGGATACCTACTGGTGATCTGGGTAATAATATTCTTGGACTTGCTTGTGCATCAGCTGTCCAAACACCTTTATGAAAATGAGCTCAGGTCAACTGACAGCAGACATAATATCCTTCAGAGAGCTCCAGGGTTAGTACAGTTCCATTTTCAGATAGACAGCGCAGGTAGACCACAAGCCTGGACTTGAAATGACAGTGAACATCTACTCACGGTGACTAAGCGATATCGTTTGAGTTTGGGATCTTCAGGTCAACTGCTGCTGTTCAATTTATTTTATCCCTTCCTCTGTACAGGTCAGAGACTCACATGTTAGTTCAAGGTCTTGAGCCAAAAACCATGTATGAATTTGCAGTTCGGCTGCATGTGGACCAGCTCTCCAGCCCCTGGAGCCCAGTGGTCTACCATACTACCCTTCCAGAAGGTAAGGCACGAGGAGAGGTCCACGTGGTTCTAAACAGACAGCTCAGTAAACCAAATGGCCTAAAAAAATACTTATTAATGTTGCGGTGTCTGTAGGAGGGAGAAATACTCTCCTCTGAGATAGAGATATGCTCTTCTCGCTGAGAGAGAGAAAAATGCTGTCAGGAAAATCCATGTTTTGGAACTGTAAAATTCGTTTTCATAAGTTTTAGAAACAGTAAGAACATTACACATCTACCGCCCTAGCTGCTGGTTTGCTTTTCCATCAGCTTGCTCAGTGAAAATTACAAACCTCAGCTTCATGTTCTCAGCACTGCAGTGTTTGGGATGTGCCTCTTCACAGGGTAATGATGTGGGGCTTTGTCTGTAGCTGTTTCCTTCTGGAGCTGAAGGAAAAATCTGAAATTTGCTTTTACAAGATCTGGGCTCTTGACCAGCTCAGGGTTAACAGGAGAGTTTCTCTTGAGAAGCAACAAGTATGTGTTTGCTTATGTGTTGTTTATCTGGGATGTAGCAGTAGCCGTTAGGTCTGCACAGCGGTTTGGTTCTGAGCAATTTAATTGCATGTAAATTAGGTTAGCCTAATAGCATTGTGTTACTGTTCTCCCAGCACCATCTGGCCCTCCAGTAGGAGTGAAGGTGACTTTGATTGAGGATGATACGGCTTTGGTTTCTTGGAAGCCACCTGATGGTCCTGAAACAGTTGTTACGCGGTATACTATCCTCTACGCGTCCAGGAAGTCTTGGATTGCTGGGGAATGGCAAGTGTTGCACAGAGAAGGTAAACTAAAGTCCTGAACCTATGAGCTGGACAGACAGTGATGCTACTTACATGCTGCTTTGTTATTTTCAGCTTCCTTGGACTGCAGTAAGAAAGAGATTCATACAAGTGTTCACATAAAAGTTAAATTTAGTTTAGAATTATTCCCATGGCTGTGATGAAAATGTATTAAAACCCAATTAATGCTCAGAAGGTGAGGAGGGAGGGGCTGTCTGTGTGACGCTGGAGCTCAGTGTGTGCACATGAACCAAAACCTCTCATAATTCCAATTGCATAGTTCTGTTGCAGCCCTGATTGTGTGGTTTCCTTTCGTAAATGCACTCTTTCACATCTGAAGCCTTACATGCCTTGCTCTCTGAAAGTAAATTTATAAATGGGGCTGGGCGGGTTTCTATGTTTCTTTCCATCACTGCCAATCCAGTTAGCTCAGTTTGCTTAATGAACCTTCCCCGGCTCCCAGTAAATTGCTCTGGGAATGCAATTTATTCTGCTGCTGAGCCCCAGCTAGCTAATCTAACAGTAACTCAGGTATGGCGATAGGAACTGCAGTCACATCTTTGTGATTAGATGGAAACTAAATTTTTATAGACACTTTCCAGAATAATACTGCGATTTGAAGAGCTGTATCAAGGAGTGATTTCTACCATAGCCAGAAAGAAAGAAAAAGGCATTTCCTGTTTGGTTGGTAGAACAGATGGAGACCGTTCAGAATAGATCACGTTCTAATACTGTATTGAACCAGAGAGGGAACATTTTCATGTGCTCCCATACAGAAAGTGTTGGAGGGAATGAGCACATGAGAGCTATAAATGTCAGTGTATTTCTCTGTCCATCAATGTTAGTCACTCATTTTGTCTCATGACAGATATGTCGGGGTTCAAGGCATGGCACGGAGTTTGGGCATCTAGCCGTGCTAGGACAATCTGTAATGCTCTTAGCTGAAGTACGGGGGAAAGGCCCCTGAAAAAAATGAGTACACAGCGGTGAAATTGGGCAAACACTCTGATAGTCCCATGACAGCCCTTTCATAGGTAATTTGAGGTGGTACCAGGGTTTGGATTTTTATTGCATTTGTTCTGATAAAATCAGCTAGCCCTACGGAATAATAGCATTGCTTTGTCTTGAAGCTAAACTACTTCTGCAGAAGATTTGTGAAATCTTAACCCCATTCCGTTCCCATACCTCCAAAGACACACCCCCCCAAACAAAAAATTAAAAGAAACCACCAAAACAAACCCAAAAACCCAGCAACCAACCCCACCACCTAGCCAAGTCCTAGCCTGGCCTTTAGTATGTGCATGACAATTTCTACCAATCCACCAAAGTAAAAAAAAACCCAAACCCTGTAATTTGGCGGAGCTTGTGTTAGCCATGTCAGAGTCAGAAAATACAGCTGCAGCTTGTTGCTGCTCCATGACGTGAGTTATCTTCCACTCACCTCCCCCCTTTTCCCCGGTTCTCTTCAGCTGGATCAGAAGTTACAGCCGTTACGCACTTGGTGTGCAGTAAATCAGTACAAAGTGCTCGCTCGCTTTGGCGACGCAGCAGATTTGAAAGGAGCTGGTGGGAAAGAGCCTGTAATATTGAAACACGACCTTTCGCCCTTGCTGGTGCTAAATATTACAGCTCCTTTGGCTACAGATACCTCCCGTCTTACTTCAAATGCTTTCAGCTAATGGCTGCCTTTTATGGAAGAGCTGAAATAGCTTTTGAAGTAGCTTCCCTTTTGCCAAATGTATAATCTTTTCTGTCGACGCAACAACCTCATATTTTATACACTCCCGTGATACTATAAATTCTGACTTCTGAAACCAGTTTGAAAAGTTGAAATTTAGAGTGAAGTCTGAGAAAGTGAAAGGAATATGTGAAAGAGAACAAGGGGTAGATGTG